GGTAATTTTCAATATTTTACATGTTTTGTCTTGGAAATTTGCTCATATCTCAGGAATGGTTTGCGTTATTGGGATGTTCATTTTTTGTTATTGTAGAAGAAGAGTTGTTTTAAATGATTAGCATTTGACACCCCCGGAATTCGGCCTGGAACACCCTTAAAATTGGCTTCAAAATTAGGTAATTTTCAATATTTTTCATGTTTCGTCGTGGAAATTGGGTCATATCTCCGGAACGGTTTGCGTTATTGGGGTGTTCATTTTTTGTTATTGTAGAAGAAGAGGTATTTTAAACGAAACGCATTTGACACCCCCGGATTTCGGGCGGGAACACTCTTAAAATTGGCTTCAAAATTAGGTAATTTTCAATATTTTTCATGTTTTGCGGTGGAAATTAGGTCATATCTCGGGAACGGTTTGCGTTATTGGGGTGTTCATTTTTTGTTATTGTAGAAGAAGAGTTATTTTAAACGAAACGCATTTGACACCCCCGGATTTCGTCCGGGAACACCCTTAAAATTGGCTTCAAAATTAGGTAATTTTCAATATTTTTCATGTTTCGTCGTGGAAATTGGGTCATATCTCCGGAACGGTTTGCGTTATTGGGGTGTTCATTTTTTGTTATTGTAGAAGAAGAGTTATTTTAAACGATACGCATTTGACACCTCCGGAATTCGGCCGGGAACACCCTCAAAACTGGCTTCAAAATTAGTAAATTTTCAATATTTTTTATGTTTTGTCGTGGAAATTGGCTCATATCTCGAGAACGGTTTGCGTTATTGGGGTGTTCTTTTTTTGTTATTGTAGAAGAAGAGTCATTTTAAACGATTAGCATTTGACACCTCCGGAATTTGGCCGGGAACACCCTCAAAACTGGTTTCAAAATTAGTAAATTTTCAATATTTTTCATGTTTTGTCGTGGAAATTGGCTCATATCTCGAGAACGGTTTGCGTTATTGGGGTGTTCTTTTTTTGTTATTGTAGAAGAAGAGTCATTTTAAACGATTAGCATTTGACACCTCCGGAATTTGGCCGGGAACACCCTCAAAACTGGTTTCAAAATTAGTAAATTTTCAATATTTTTCATGTTTCGTCGTGGAAATTGGGTCATATCTCCGGAACGGTTTGCGTTATTGGGGTGTTCATTTTTTGTTATTGTAGAAGAAGAGTTATTTTAAACGAAACGCATTTGACACCCCCGGATTTCGGGCGGGAACACCCTTAAAATTGGCTTCAAAATTAGGTAATTTTCAATATTTTTCATGTTTTGTCGTGGAAATTGGGTCATATCTCGGGAACGGTTTGCGTTATTGGGGTGTTCATTTTTTGTTATTGTAGAAGAAGAGTTGTTTTAAACGATACGCATTTGACACCCCCGGATTACGGCCGGGAACACCCTTAAAACTGGCTTCAAAATTAGTAAATTTTCAATATTTTTCATGTTTTGCCGTGGAAATTGGCTCATATCTCGAGAACGGTTTGCGTTATTGGGGTGTTCATTTTTTGTTATTGTAGAAGAAGAGTTATTTTAAACGATACGCATTTGACACCTCCGGAATTCGACCGGGAACACCCTCAAAACTGGCTTCAAAATTAGTAAATTTTCAATATTTTTCATGTTTTGTCGTGGAAATTGGCTCATATCTCGAGAACGGTTTGCGTTATTGGGGTGTTCTTTTTTTGTTATTGTTGAAGAAGAGTTGTTTTAAACGATACGCATTTGACACCCCCGGATTTCGGCCGGGAACACCCTTAAAACTGGCTTCAAAATTAGTAAATTTTCAATATTTTTCATGTTTTGCCGTGGAAATTGGCTCATATCTCGAGAACGGTTTGCGTTATTGGGGTGTTCTTTTTTTGTTATTGTAGAAGAAGAGTCATTTTAAACGATTAGCATTTGACACCTCCGGAATTTGGCCGGGAACACCCTCAAAACTGGTTTCAAAATTAGTAAATTTTCAATATTTTTCATGTTTCGTCGTGGAAATTGGGTCATATCTCCGGAACGGTTTGCGTTATTGGGGTGTTCATTTTTTGTTATTGTAGAAGAAGAGTTATTTTAAACGAAACGCATTTGACACCCCCGGATTTCGGGCGGGAACACCCTTAAAACTGGCTTCAAAATTAGTAAATTTTCAATATTTTTCATGTTTTGCCGTGGAAATTGGCTCATATCTCGAGAACGGTTTGCGTTATTGGGGTGTTCTTTTTTTGTTATTGTAGAAGAAGAGTCATTTTAAACGATTAGCATTTGACACCCCCGGAATTCGGCCGGGAACACCCTCAAAACTGGCTTCAAAATTAGTAAATTTTCAATATTTTTCATGTTTTGTCGTGGAAATTGGCTCATATCTCGAGAACGGTTTGCGTTATTGGGGTGTTCTTTTTTTGTTATTGTAGAAGAAGAGTTGTTTTAAACGATACGCATTTGACACCCCCGGATTTCGGCCGGGAACACCCTTAAAACTGGCTTCAAAATTAGTAAATTTTCAATATTTTTCATGTTTTGCCGTGGAAATTGGCTCATATCTCGAGAACGGTTTGCGTTATTGGGGTGTTCATTTTTTGTTATTGTAGAAGAAGAGTTATTTTAAACGAAACGCATTTGACACCCCCGGATTTCGGCCGGGAACACCCTTAAAATTGGCTTCAAAATTAGGTAATTTTCAATATTTTACATGTTTTGTCTTGGAAATTTGCTCATATCTCAGGAATGGTTTGCGTTATTGGGATGTTCATTTTTTGTTATTGTAGAAGAAGAGTTGTTTTAAATGATTAGCATTTGACACCCCCGGAATTCGGCCTGGAACACCCTTAAAATTGGCTTCAAAATGAGGTAATTTTCAATATTTTTCATGTTTCGTTGTGGAAATTAGGTCATATCTCGGGAACGGTTTGCGCTATTGGGGTGTTCATTTTAGTTATTGTAGAAAAAGAGTTGTTTTAAACGACACGCATTTGACTCCCCTAGAATTCGGCCGGGAACACCCTTAAAACTGGCTTCAAAATTAGGTAATTTTCAATATTTTTCATGTTTCGTCGTGGAAATTTTGATACCATCAAGGGTCGGGAAGTGCCTTTAAAGTGATCTCCAATTTCATCAATTTTGCTTATTTTTGAAAAGTTCTGGTGGAAAATGGTCTGTATCTTGTGTTTCTCTGGCTCGATTTCTATTTTGTATTCTTCAGATCAGAGAGAAATAGTTGCTTAATCAAATAGACTACATTTTGATACCATCAAGGGTCGGGAAGTGCCCTTAAATTGATCTACAATTTCAGTAACTTAGGTAATCTTTGAAAAGTTGTGGTGGAAAACGATATTGGGAATATTGGGAATAATGATTTGCAGTTGAAAAGTCGTAGAAGTAGAAAATTTGCACAGGGCGTTAATAGCGCCAAAACTTGCACTGCTATGCTGGCACGAAGTACGTGCCGATATTTTGCGTGTAAACAATTTTTTTGTCGCGTTCAGCGAGCGTATCGCAACAGTGATAGTGGCCGCATGATGTCGGCGTTGGCTGCGTACAGCTCAGTGTACTCGGCAGTTTCATTCCGGTCGTCGAGTAAACCATGCGTGTTCATCGCGACTAGTTCTATTTTGTCCGATCATATTTAGGCAGATCGATGTATAATTAACTAAAGTTATATTCGTTAAACAATCGACGGCATATACTAGAATCGGACGTGACCGGGGTTTTAAAAGTGTGATTGCACGCGTTGGATGTTTTTCAATCGCGGATTCAATTTCGGTTTTCCGAAGCGCGTGTCAAACGGTTATCTTTTATAATTATCTCGTGCAAGTAGGCGCTGGTATCCAGCGAGGAAGTTTGTGAGTGCACTAATGGAGTTTGCAATATTTATAGCGGAAGTTTTGGAGATGCGCTAATTTTAAGGCAAGTCTTTACTGCGATAGAATTTAATAACTGCCAATATTTTTTATTTAAAAAAATGTATCTATTGTTAAATGTTATATATTTCTTATATATTATATTTCTTACATATTTCTTTGTAGTATCCCCTTTGTCGTTTTCAGTATTGACGTCTTAAATAATATTGCATATAAATCTTATGCGCGTGTAGCGAGTGGAATATAGCTAAAACTTGTGTTGTTGTTTTTAAAAAGTAGAATAAAGTAGAAACATAAATAGAAGAATCAAATATCAATGATAAAAACACTCGGTGGTCGAGTGGAGAGGTGCACCTGCTGGCATGCCAGCAGACACGGATCGAATCTCAGGTATAGAAGGCATTTTTCTCAAATATAAAAATATCAGGTGTAATTTGGGTTGCATATATGAATTGCAACAAAATGTAAGAGAAATTGAAATACAAGTGAAGGCAATATGAGAAGTAAGAGCAAGTAAGTGGAGGAGCAGAGAACAGAGAAATAGGAGAACAAGAAGAAAGAAGTAGTAGTAGTAGAGAAGAGGAGAAGATAGAAGAAAGAGAACAGGAGAGGATCAGATTTTTAAATTTTTTGGCACGTGTCGTTATAAGACAGTCTACGGTCGATCTCCCAGAGCGCCGGAGGCGCTCTGGTCGATCGCCCACTGCTTCGATCCGTCCATTGCTCCCGGCCCATCCTACAGCTACGATGTCTCTGCGCTTCATCCCCGAAATAGTCAGGCATATCAACAATTTTTATGGTGGGGGGATCATCCCCAGAGAGAGGGAACTCCTTATAAAAACATCCTTTTAAGAACTTGTAAAAATATTTCTAATTTTTAAGTCGCCTCAAGAGAGGGGACACTTAAAAATATTCTTACAAGGTCTGACCTGTGGCTGAAATGAAAGATGGAGAACATAAATCATACAGGATACCTTAACAATTTTTATAGTGGGGATCATCCCCCGAGTGGGAGAACTTCTTATAAGGACTTGTAGAGATATTCCTTAGTGTCGACGCTCTCAGGACCGACCACAGCCTTGAGAAATACTTTACAAGTTGTGACCTGTACCTGAAATGATAGAAAGAAGGGGTGCACAAGTCATAAGACACAGCCATTGCCTTTAACATTTCTTTATTAACAAACTAAATACAATATAAGTTCATAACTTGTATGTTCAATAGTTACAAGACATATGACGTCATTTTAAAACATGTTTATGACCTGCATAGCCGCGCTATGCTAACGGCTGCGAAATTTCAAAAGATAACACTGGAAAATAGCAAATTGCGCATTGTTTTCGCGTGACATCAGTGGAAAATTAAATACAGGGTGTTTTCGAAAGAAAATCTTCAATTAAAAAAGAAAATCACCCCAAAACAATAGAGATTTCTCATTTTTCACTGAGCATAAAGGAATACATACAAGGTGTTATCATAAAAAAAATTCAATTCAAAAAGAAATACCCCCGAAAACAATAAAGATTGCAAAATTTTCACTGGACATTAAAGAAAATTTTTATACAGGGTGATACAAAAAAAATCAAAAATACAAGAGTTAATAACTGTCTCCTCCTGGATATCTAGAAGTGATATGTGCGGGGAGAGAAACATGATAAATAATACATTTATTAATAATTATAATATTATTTGTCATCTTTTAAAGCAATACTAGCCTAATATTTCTTGAACACACAAATTAACAAACACGTAAAGCCAATTAGAGGCAGAATAATAAATAATATATATAATAATAAATACAAAAGCACCAATCAGGCACAAAAAACGGAATCTAACGGGAGTGAATCCCAGCTGACGGAACGCGACAATATTCCAATACTTGTAATACAACGCGGATTATATGCGACAATGTGACAACTATTTCTACTTATTTTCAGAGTGTTTAGTTATTTGACTGATTGCTTTTCCTTATCTGGTGATGAATTTACATTTGCTGTTTCATTCGTCAAATGTTAATAGAATGTAGTATTTACGTTACACATATTCTTACGCCTTCGCAGGTAAAATAATCCACAAGAGACACCCATAATGTAAATGATGTTTCTTCAAATTAACAATTAAATAAATACACAAAACAAATCCACTAGGAATTCTTAGCCGACGGAAGATATCCGACGGCCGACAGCAAACACGTGCGTACATTGTAAAACCACGCAATTCTGGATTCCACGCGCGATAAAACATTAACTGCCCGCCGCACTCGCCTGTTAATTCTAAATCCTATCATTGCTGACCAATTATAATTCAACTACCAATTTAAATTCACAAGAAACGCGATAACCCGAAAACCTCCGCGCAAGTAAACGCGTGCACACCACGCCGCAGCGCACTATCGACTAAGGAGGAAATAGCACAAGCAAGGCTGAGCGCGACGGACGCGCTGCAACTCGATAAAAAAGCAAGTTGTTTGTACACAAACACCGATAATAGTCAAGAGTGAGAACTATGAACAATTCATGTTGTTGATACAGTCTAATGCAATAAAAAACAATTATATTATGAACATACTACTCTTTTATTCGTATAAATAATGTATTCTATAATCCAGAATTAAATACTGTCTATATTTAAAACCTGTTTAGAAGATATTGGCAGAGTCTTAATCTACAGATAATTCCCTATAAAATAAGCTAGTTAAATTGGAAATCTAAGAACGGAAATTTTAATTCATAAGAAAAAAAATGGGCAAGATAACAACTATTTTCGATAGCGAATATATTCCAAACTAAAAGAGATAGATTTGAAAAATTCTCTATCAGATAAGATATAAAAATAATTAAAAGTTGTATAACTCGCGTTACAAAATTTTCTTAAAATAAATTTCAATACAGAAAGATACAGAATTAAATTCTGCATATAGGAAAATTATTCCGAACTTATTGTGACACCGCGTTCGCGAGTTATATCAAAAAACTACAATTCCTAGCGCAACGAGTACTAGTACACACACACACAACTTTCAATATAACTCGCGTTACGGAATTTTCTTGCAATAAATTTCAATAGAGGGACATACAGAATTCAATTCCGCATTATGGAAAATAATTTCGAACTTATTTTGACACCGCGTTCACGTGTTATAACAAAAAAACTACAATTCCTAGCGCAACGAGTACTAGTGCACACACACACAACTTTCAATATAACTCGCGTTACGGAATTTTCTGGCAAAACATTTTTATACTGGGAGATGCAAAATTAAATTCTGCATTTAAGAAAATTAATCCAAACTAATTGTGACACCGCGTTCGCGTGTTAGAATAAAAAAACTACAATTCCTAGCGCAACGAGTACTACGGCGCAAACACAACTTTCATTGTAATTCGCGTTACGGAATTTTATGACCAAACATTTTTATACTGGACGATGCAAAATTAAATTCTGCATTTAAGAAAATCAATCCAAACTAATTGTGACACCGCGTTCGCGTGTTATAATAAAAAAAACTACAATTCCTAGCGCAACGAGTACTACGGCGCAAACACAACTTTCATTATAACTCGCGTTGCGGAATTTTCTGGCAAAACATTTTTATACTGGGAGATGCAAAATTAAAAGTGCATTTGGGAAAATTAATTCGAACTAATTACGACACCGCGTTCGCGTGTTATAACAAAAAAACTACAATTCCTAGCGCAACGAGTACTACGGCGAAAACACAACTTTCATTCTAACTCGCGTTACGGAATTTTCTGGCAAAACATTTTAATACTGGAAGATGCAAAATTAAATTCTGCATTTGGGAAAATTAATCCGAACTAATTGTGACACCGTGTTCGCGTGTTATAACAAAAAAACTACAATTCCTAGCGCAACAAGTACTACGGCGAAAACACAACTTTCATTCTAACTCGCGTTACGGAATTTTCTGGCAAAACATTTTCATACTGGAAGATGCAGAATTAAATTCTGCATCTGGAAAAATTAATCCGAACCTATTGCAACACCGCGTTCGCGCATTATAACAAAAAAACTACAATTCCTAGCGGAACGAGTGACAAAAATCAGCCTTTCATTCAAATTTTTGCGGGTTCCTACGGTGCCCTGAACACGAGTCACTTTTACCGCGAGCCTCGTAGGGTGCCCTGAATCGAGTCACTTCTACCGCTAACAAATACCACCCGGCGGAGATTTTAATGCTGCTTTTTTGACGCCCCGCTGAAGTTACTAGGTCGCAGAGTTCGCATAGAATAACGGAAATATACAAAATTATACCAAATACTGACAATCAGAAGTATCAAACATACATACATACTGTACATATACTAAGTATACAAAAATATGATGAGACTTACCAGGAGTGCAAATCATGAGATTGAGAATCGTAGAACAAGTATTGATGTCAAGTAGCAAACATATCAGAGAATGGATTTGCATTAAAACAAGAATTGTTCGCATGAATCGACATTACAAAACTCGAAATTTGGAAAATGGTTGAACTGTACTGAAGGGAAATTCCCGATCAAGTAAAACTGCGGTAAGAACAAATCAAATTAATTCAATGAAATATTTAATCTAAAGAATAGAAATACTAACACCGATAAATAAGTAGAAGTCAAACAATTCTCGTGGGCAAGTTGTAGGGTACGGAATAAATATATTTTTATCTGTTTTATTTTCATGCACCAACCGGCCTAGCATCTCAGATCAGTCGGAGGAGCAAACCGAAAAGAAATGTCAATAAATTCGCATATCAGGGGCATTCCAGTGTAAACATTAAACATCTGTAAAAATAAGCATTTTCCAGGCGGGCAATGCATTAAATTTATATAAATTCAAACCGGAATGACAAATACAATGACGCGAAACTGAACTATGCCCATGAAATGAAGAATTTAATTATAATCTCACACATGAACTCTCACCCTGTGTATTGTAACTCATGGAACGTCACTGGCCCTCACTGGTATTTCTTCAATTACTATAATAAATGAATAAAAGTTAAAACATGTTATATAAATGCAAAATAAAAGAATGTTATCAATTCGTGCATCAAAACACGATGTTTGTTGTCGAAATGTGTGTGCACGGTGCATTCCACACGGCGAACGAGATAAGAACACACTAGTTGTAAATAAACACCGATAAGCGTCAATAGTCAGAAGATAGAACACAATGCTAGCTGGCAATGTCGGCACAAGTTAGAAACGCTTAGATTTTAATTTGAATTTAATAAAAGATGCAAACGTTCATATGAGTTTACTGTATTAGTTAGGTTTTAAGACCGTATTGTTTGCAACAGAGCTGCGATACCGGTGGCGGCCATGATGCGCCTGAAAGGCGAACACAGGCACGGCAAACGCGACGTTACATAGGATACTTTTCCGCTTAGAACGGAAAACTAAATCAATTACATTTATTATTCTAACTTTAAATGAAGTCCAATGTTATTTACGCAAGTGCAGAATAAAATAAATAGCAATTCTTACCAATTGGAAGATGGCCGACGGCACTTCACAACAGGTAAACAAGATAGCCGCGATACACTTACGCGCAAATAATAAATAACAGTACTAAAGTTACTAAAGTCAAGTTAAAATTAAATAGTCAATTGATGATCGAATATAATACGAATTGGAAAGTAGAAGTCCGGATAAACGATACGAGTCGCGCAAAATACGTCTGGCTCAACCAGCGACCGGCATAAAACTGGCCGCAAGCTGCATAAGCAACGACGAGGCAGTTTATGATAAGAAAGCAAGAGGTGTGCAAAGCCGGCGCGTCGATCACACGCGACCTTGTGCGTGAATTGCAATAGATGCGCAAACTTGGCGGCGCGTTGATGGAACGCGACCTTATGTGCGAATTGCATTTGGCATATAACTCAATTATAAACTTACCAATGCAGCGCTCATCGGATTGCAAGGGTACGGCAAGTACTGTAATTAAAAGAAAACATAAGTTAAAACAAAAACATTTCATACAATATGATAATATTATATTCACACATTGGAGAAAACAAACTTTCTGTGCTGAGTATCGCATTGGTCAGATAAAAGTAACTTACTCAAGCACGAATAGATTTCCGATTGATCTAGCGACCGACCATGTCCCATAATAACCGACAATAAAACCGCAGCATTGTAATTTGAAATATAAACATCAGAAGCAAGCAAAAAAAACATTTATGCACATTAAACGCACAATTACTTATTAAGAAAACACTGCAGATGCATATTACGACTAAGTCGATTGATGACCGAATATAATGCAAACTTTGAAAATAGAAGTCTGATAAAACGAAACGCGTTGCGCGATATAGGTACGTCTGGATACACCAGAGACCGGCACGAAACTAGCTGCAATCAATCAACAGAGAGAGCATGCCGAAACTGCGCACGCAAGGATGCGACAGTTAACAAGAAGACTCTGTGCCTGCTGTATAAACCCGGCACGAAAAACAAAAGATGCGCAAAGCCAGCGCGTCGATGTCATGCGACCTTGTGCGAGAATTGCAATAGATGCGCAAATCCGGCGGCGCGTCGATGGCACGCGACCTTGTGCACGAATTGCAATAAACAAGGTACCTGTGATAAGAACTAAACTAAAATGTGCTGCATGCGACAGCGCGACGAGATCTTACGCGTAGCATCTCGCACGGCGAATGCGATAAGAAAGTGGTTTATACACAAATGCTGATATGATTCAAAACGAATACAATTCTATTTTATGATTTTTAGTTCATGCTAGTGAACTAAAATTTAAATCATGAAATTATGATTTATTATTTGAGTTTTATTGAAGCAAAAATTTCCGCAGATGATATCAATTTTCTAATTGCAAGAAATCAGGAAAACAGATACTATGAATGATAAAAACTTTACTTACCAGTGTATCGAACACCGCAAATCAATTGTGAGAAGATACTGAAATAAAGAAGAAACAAAACATTAGTTACACAATTTCGGACAATGAGTTCCGGCGGAACCCAAAGTTTACCATAAATTTCGTCTTCTCACAATTATTTAAATTAGTATTCGTACCAGGTAACACATTGAGCCAACGAGTTGTGCAGAAGTCAAAAATGGTTCGCGCAAGTCCAAGATATGATTTATTATCACACACAAAGTCTGCCGGCCGGCGTCCGACGACAACCGATCAGAAATCCACGCGAAAATGTAATAAACACACAAAATATTGAATTCCGAAGATTACATACGCGATTAATATTTACCGAATGACCAAACACGGCAATTCAATAAAATATAACGCAATATACCGATTTTACAACGAGAAACACAAATACTCGACGGAGAATTCTTATGTGCCGCACGAAGTAACAGCTGCGTGCCGGCATCACAACTGTGCACGTCGACTGTCACTCGCAGGAATATTTTTAGTTAAAAATGTATCGTTGCGCTACCTGAGAATACTTTATGGTACCTCCAGAAAATACAAAGCGTTTCAAAAAGTGTGGCGTACATATGAGGCAGTGAGCAATTGCCTATGTATCAGTGAGTGGTCACGCACTTAAGTGGCCGTGTCCGTGTATCACACGTACACGAGAGTGCGCATGCACCACCCTATCTAAACAAATAGCAATTTTTACACATAACTCAAAACTTCAAATATAGAAGTCAATAGGATATACTTATTCAAAAATTAATCTAATTATAATATTATTATAATTATTATTATATTATTAAAATTATATTTGATATTATTATTATCAGATGGAAATTTAAAATAATTTAATTTCATGGGCTAAATAGTATAAAAACGCGAGTGAAAGTGCTAAAACTTGCAATTTTACATTTTTTGACGATTTATTTTAATTGCGAATATCTCGTAAACAAAAAGAGATAGAAAGGAACGAATCGCAGAGAATATAATAAAATAAAATATAATATAATACAAAAACCTCAGTAACTCGTTACTAATGATGACCTCGAGACGAAACATGTGTAACTCAAACAAAATTGTAATTCTATCACAAAAACTTATATAAATTTTTTAAATAGTAATTATGTTACATTGTAATTATGTCTCGATTTTATGTCTTTAAAAATCGCAATATCAAAACAAAATGTTTTGTGTGTCCCTCTTGGTATACCACGATTTTGGCAAGGATTGAGTGCTTCTTCCTAAAACAGTAAATATAGTTGTATTAAAATAAAAAATAAGTTTATAATCAGAGGGTTAAATTTATGTAAAACCAGAAATGGATATCACTGATACAAATCAAGAATTGGCTATATCCATTTCTGATTTTCTACAGATATTTTAAAAATGTGACTATTGTAAAATTAAGTTACCTTACAGGTCGTTCCGGAACAATTAATGTCGATTTGCATCTTCACATCTTTGATTAAATGGAGTCAACAATAGTTACAGTAAGGAAATTGCATTTCAGTGTTCATTTCACAGTCCACTACACTACTTCTAGTCTACGACTACAACTATAACTACAACTACGTGCTTGCTATCACTACACTACACTACACTACGAACTGCTTGTGAACACATGAAACACAATTTTGAGTCCTCTCATTCTGACAATTGTTGATCCATTTTTGTTCACCACTGAATGTGACATTTTGCATTATAATGTTTCGTCTTCTTCACTTTCAAGTTATTTTTGCAAAACTAAAAAAATTAAAAGATATTAAAGCAATTAAAAAATGCGATGTTTGTGTGATTCATGTGCATGTTGCCCTCATGCTCCCCATGTTGAATCCCAACGGTGGCAAGAAATGTAATCCAGCTTCTGTGAATAAGAAAATTAATAAATTAATAATGATACGAGCAATATTTTATTGTGATAATCCCTACCTAAGCATCTTGGCGGCTGTTCATACCCCCGGAGGTAGTGGCCCATTCCTTGATGGGTATACACACGACCCCCAGAGGCTTTTCCTGGTCGAATAGTTGGCTGCAACAGGTCCCGGCCTTTTAAGGATCGACGTCGGCGTTGATGGAACTGCATCACATCGACCTCTTCTTCTTCGTCGTCAGCTGAGTTAACATAAGATATAAATATAATAGAATAAAATAAGCAAATAAAAAGTCTTGTAGTAAAAAAATGATTGTAATAAAACTCACCTCAGTTTCTTTCCAGGTTTGCATACCCCTGAGGGCAGTAGCCCATTCCTTGATGGGTATACACATCAGGCCCTGACCCCCAAAGGCGGAAAGATAGCTGAGCCGAGACCATCAGGATCGACCTCGGCGTGGACAGAACTGCACCTCATTAAGTCTTCGTCAGCTACGGATAAAATTAATCACACACATAAATAGTTTTATAACAAACAATTGATTCTTATAATATTTACCTCAGTTTCTCCCCGACTTTGCAAGGGTAGGAACCCATTCCTTGATGGGTATACACATCAGGCCCTGACCCGCAAGGGTGGAAAGCTGGCTGATTTTGGACCATCAGGATCAACCTCGGCGTGGACGGATAACATATTCTTCTTCGGCTCCTGATAACAATAAAAAAATAAATAAAATCAAATATTATTGCGACTAAAAATTAATTGTAACTTACCTCAAGTTCTTTTGAAATGTGCCATATTCCAACAGAGCGTCTTATCTCTTCATGGCCCTCAGGATGGAAGGATCTTCTTGTTTCACATTCAAAAGTGAAACATAACAACGTGCAACATGACTATTGACTTTCGTGCAGTGAAAAAAATTCGTGCAAACTGGAAAGAAATTATTAAATATCTCATCACTCCCGCACTATATTGCAACACTCGCGCACTCCCGCACTAACACTTGTTTAACGAAATGCACAATATAATTCAACACTCACGCACTATTAATAATACATTGCACTGCACAAAACGTTGGTATCAGTATTTATCCAATTCCATTTTGACGTATCTCATTCTAAAATTTATCAATTTAATATGTTGTTTGACTCTGATGTAGAAGTTTTTCTGCTTAGGTAATTCGGCTGTATCCAGAATAGATGAGTAAGAACAAATATCTTCACTGAAGCACTATTTCACACTAATATTGATAACACTAAATTTCACACTCCCGCACTATATAAAAACACTCGCGCACTATAGTAAAACACACAAACACAATTATTTATTACAGTTGTTGGTATTCATACCCATTCCATTTAGTTTCGTTGAAATTCTTGATTTTCACAATTAATATTGGATTCTTTCTGTTAATGCAAGGCTCATTGTATCATCGTGTTGGGTAAATTTTCTTTGCCAACCATTTGTTTGTTTCTTCTGTTCTTCTTCTTGTCATTCTTCATTTTATGCGTTTCCTATTGATTCTACCTGATCCTTAGTTACCTACCCTGATGTTGTGTTATTTTAATTTATTTTGTTTTGTATTATGTGTTAAGAATGTCAGGTAAGGTGTGCCGAAGCACACCAATACCCTAAAAACCCTGACAATGATCATGAACAGGGCAAAAAGTGTAAGGTGTGTATGTGTATGTAAGTGTAAAAACTGAAGAAAGTCGATTTTCACTCCCGCACTATAATTAAACACTCCCGCACTACACGTATATTGCAACACTCGCGCACTAATAATAAGACACTGCACAATAGTTCATTTGTTGAAAATGTGATATGTGTGTGTGTGTGGGTAAGATGTGCCGAAACACACCAATACCCGAGAACTCTGACAATGATCATGAACAGAGCAAAAAGTGTAAGGTGTGTATGTGTATGTAAGTGTAAAAACTGAAGAAAGTCGATTTTCACTCCCGCACTATAAGACAACACTCCCGCACTACACGTATATTGCAACACTCGCGCACTAATAATAAGGCACTGCACAATAGTTCATTTGTTGAAAATGTGATATGTGTGTGTGTGTGGGTAAGGTGTGCCGAAGCACACCAATACCCGAGAACTCTGACAATGATCATGAACAGAGCAAAAAGTGTAAGGTGTGTATGTGTATGTAAGTGTAAAAACTGAAGAAAGTCGATTTTCACTCCCGCACTATAATTAAACACTCCCGCACTACACGTATATTGCAACACTCGCGCACTAATAATAAGACACTGCACAATAGTTCATTTGTTGAAAATGTGATATGTGTGTGTGTGTGGGTAAGATGTGCCGAAACACACCAATACCCGAGAACTCTGACAATGATCATGAACAGAGCAGAAAGTGTAAGGTGTGTATGTGTATGTAAGTGTAAAACTGAAGAAAGTCGATTTTCACTCCCGCACTATAAGACAACACTCCCGCACTACACGTATATTGCAACACTCGCGCACTAATAATAAGGCACTGCACAATAGTTCATTTGTTGAAAATGTGATATGTGTGTGTGTGTGGGTAAGATGTGCCGAAACACACCAATACCCGAGAACTCTGACAATGATCATGAACAGAGCAAAAGTGTAAGGTGTGTATGTGTATGTAAGTGTAAAACTGAAGAAAGTCGATTTTCACTCCCGCACTATAAGACAACACTCCCGCACTACACGTATATTGCAACACTCGCGCACTAATAATAAGGCACTGCACAATAGTTCATTTGTTGAAAATGTGATATGTGTGTGTGTGTGGGTAAGATGTGCCGAAACACACCAATACCCGAGAACTCTGACAATGATCATGAACAGAGCAAAAAGTGTAAGGTGTGTATGTGTATGTAAGTGTAAAACTGAAGAAAGTCGATTTTCACTCCCGCACTATAAGACAACACTCCCGCACTACACGTATATTGCAACACTCGCGCACTAATAATAAGGCACTGCACAATAGTTCATTTGTTGAAAATGTGATATGTGTGTGTGTGTGGGTAAGATGTGCCGAAACACACCAATACCCGAGAACTCTGACAATGATCATGAACAGAGCAAAAAGTGTAAGGTGTGTATGTGTATGTAAGTGTAAAAACTGAAGAAAGTCGATTTTCACTCCCGCACTATAATTAAACACTCCCGCACTACACGTATATTGCAACACTCGCGCACTAATAATAAGGCACTGCACAATAGTTCATTTGTTGAAAATGTGATATGTGTGTGTGTGTGGGTAAGATGTGCCGAAACACACCAATACCGAGAACTCTGACAATGATCATGAACAGAGCAAAAAGTGTAAGGTGTGTATGTGTATGTAAGTGTAAAACTGAAGAAAGTCGATTTTCACTCCCGCACTATAAGACAACACTCCCGCACTACACGTATATTGCAACACTCGCGCACTAATAATAAGGCACTGCACAATAGTTCATTTGTTGAAAATGTGATATGTGTGTGTGTGTGGGTAAGATGTGCCGAAACACACCAATACCCGAGAACTCTGACAATGATCATGAACAGAGCAAAAAGTGTAAGGTGTGTATGTGTATGTAAGTGTAAAAACTGAAGAAAGTCGATTTTCACTCCCGCACTATAAGACAACACTCCCGCACTACACGTATATTGCAACACTCGCGCACTAATAATAAGGCACTGCACAATAGTTCATTTGTTGAAAATGTGATATGTGTGTGTGTGTGGGTAAGATGTGCCGAAACACACCAATACCCGAGAACTCTGACAATGATCATGAACAGAGCAAAAAGTGTAAGGTGTGTATGTGTATGTAAGTGTAAAAACTGAAGAAAGTCGATTTTCACTCCCGCACTATAATTAAACACTCCCGCACTACACGTATATTGCAACACTCGCGCACTAATAATAAGGCACTGCACAATAGTTCATTTGTTGAAAATGTGATATGTGTGTGTGTGTGGGTAAGATGTGCCGAAACACACCAATACCCGAGAACTCTGACAATGATCATGAACAGAGCAAAAAGTGTAAGTGTGTGTATTGTGTAAGTGTAGGTAATTGTTGACTAATAGTTGCCTTATTGATTCTACGAACTTCAGTTGATATTAAAGCAGATTTTGTTTACCACTTTATTTCTTTCCTATTGATTCCTTAGTTGCTTCTCTATTCAAATAATTTCTTTCTCAAATATTCTCATTTCCATATTCATTTCCTTCAATTTAAGCTCTTTTTTGCTTTGTCTCTGTATCTCATTCTAAGATTTGTTGAACTTGTCATTTTTTCTATTAAAAATTACATCTTCTCCAAGAAAGATTGGTCTTCTTCGCTTTGAAGTTCTTTTGACAAAACTAAGAAAAACAAACAAAAAATACTAAACCAATTAACAAATTCATAAACATAAATGTTTTATCGCCTGCACCTCATCATTAAGTGTAAGTGTAAATTAGTGTAAAGTGTTATAAATATGTATGTGTGTTGATGTGTACATTCTGTCGCCCGCGAGATTCTAATTTGCGCGCGAGTGGACACGGTTGTCCAGTAATGCGAATTTGTGAAGTTATGATGAATTAATAATACGCCCGAGCACCCTCAGAGGTTCCAGATGGGTGCATCCGTCCTCACCTCCGAGAGTAATGTGTGTGTTATTGATGTGCCCCTCACCACCGTCAAAAGTAGCTGCCCATTCCTAGATGGGTATACAACATCCAAGCATCAACTTTAAAGGATGGTATGGGGCTCGCGATGGACATAAACCGGTGTCAAAAATTACGGATTTGTGTGTATTGTTGATACCCTATTTCCCTTTCTTTAGTTTAGAAACCTCGACGTTGGCAAGAGCTGATCCAGTTTCTTCAGTTTCATCCAAAAGATAATGATGTAATCCAGCTACTGTAAATAATTTTAAAAATGTTTATAAGTACGTAAATTCTATAATTAAAAAAATTAATAATATTGTGATCAGACTTTAATTGATTTTTATTGTAATAACTCTCACCTCAGCATCTTGGCGGCTGTTCCTACCCCTGGAGGCAGCAACCCATTCCTTGATGGGTATACACATCGAGCCCTGACCCCCAAAGGCTTTTTCTCGCTGGGAAGCTGGCTACATCAGAATCAACCTCGGCGTGGACAGAACTGCACCTCATTTAGGTCTTCGTCAGCTACAGATAAAATTAATAAAACAAATAAATAAACTGTTTTGTAATAAACAATTGATTCTTATAATATTCACCTAAGTTTCTCCCCGCTTTTGCAAGGGTAGGAACCCATTCCTTGATGGGTATACACATCAGGCCCTGACCCCCCAAGGGTGAAAAGATAGCTGAGCCGAGACCATCAGGATCGACATCGGCGTTAGTGGAACTGCATCACATCGGCCTCTTCTTCGCCTTCAGCTGACATTAACATCAATAAAATAAGTAAATAAAAAATCTAGTGATCAGAAAATAATTGTAATAAAACACACCTCAGTTTCTTTCCAGTTTTGCATACCCCTGAGGGCAGTAGCCCATTCCTTGATGGGTATACACATCGGGTCCTGGCCCCCAAAGGCGGAAAGATGACTGAGCCGAGATCATCAGGATCGACCTCGCCGTGGACGGATCACATCTTCTTCTTGGGCTTCTTCTTTTAACATTAAAAAATATATATGAAAATAAATATTATTGCCACGAAATATTTATTGTAAATGTAACTCACCTCAACTTCTTTTGAAATGGGCCTTATATCAATAAAACTCTCATCTCTTCTTGGTCTTCGGATGCAAGGATTTTCTTGTTTCGCATTAAAAAACGAAACATAACAACATGCAACATGACTATTTTAAACAGTGACTTTTCGTGCAATCGTGCAAACTCTTAATCTGTAAAGAAATTATTAAATATTTCACGACACTCCCGCACTCGCACTAACACTTGTATAACTGTATAACGGCCCGCACAATATAATTCAACACTCGCGCACTATAAATAATTCACAACACTGCACATTAAGTTGATATCAGCATTTATCCATTTCCATTTTGACGTATCTCATTCTGAGATTTATCAATTTAATATGTTGTTTGACTCTGATGTAGAAGTTTCTCTGCTTAGGTAATTCGGTTGTATCCTGAATAGATGAGTAAGAACAAGTACCGTCACTGATGTACTATTTCACACTAATACTGGTAACACTAAATTTCACACTCCCGCACTGTATAAAAACACTCGCGCACTATATAAAAACACACAAACACAATTATTTATCACAGTTGTTGGTATTCATATCCATTCCAATTTGATTTCTTGCTCTTTTCAATTTTGTTGTTGTATCTAACTTGAAGTTTTAACGTAATTTCGAATTCTTGATTCTCACAATTAATATTGGATTCTTTCTGTTAATGCAAGGCTCATTGTATCATCGTGTTGGGTAAATTTTCTTTGCCAACCATTTGTTTGTTTCTTCTGTTCTTCTTCTTGTCATTCTTCATTTTATGCGTTTCCTATTGATTCTACCTGATCCTTAGTTACTACCTTGATGTTGTGTTATTTTAATTTATTTTGTTTTGTATTATGTGTTAAGAATGTCAGGTAAGGTGTGCCGAAGCACACCAATACCCTACAAAAACCCTGACAATGATCATGAACAGGGCAAAAAGTGTAAGGTGTGTATGTGTATGTATGTAAGTGTAAAAACTGAAGAAAGTCGATTTTCACTCCCGCACTATAATTAAACACTCACGCACTATAAGACAACACTCCCGCACTACACGTATATTGCAACACTCGCGCACTAATAATAAGACACTGCACAATAGCTGATTTGTTGAAAATGTGATATGTAGGTGTGATATGTAGGGTAAGGTGTGCCGAGACACACCAATACCCAAGAACTCTGACAATGGTCATGAACAGAGCAAAAAGTGTAAGTGTGTGTATTGTGTAAGTGTAGGTAATTGTTGACTGATAGTTGCCTGATTGATTCTACGAAGTTCAGTTGATATTAAAGCAGATTTTGTTTACCACTTTATTTCTTTCCTATTGATTCCTTAGTTGCTTCTCTATTCAAATAATGTTTTTCTCG